GAGGCCCTAGAGCACTCTCCGATATTTATGAGAGGTGTAATGTAACGATCATAGACCATGTTGAGTATGAAGAAGCGATAATGAGATCGGAAATGGATAGAAGCAATGAGGAAGGAATTTACAATGATTGAAAAGAATCAAACTTGGAAGTTAGGGGACGGACTCGCATACAAGAAAGCAATAGGAGTGACATGGGTTTATAGAACAAAACTCAATCCTAATGGTTATGAGAAAAAGTACAAAGCAATGTTGGTTGTCAAATGATATACTCAAATATTTAGGGTGGACTTTTGAAAAACATTTGCCTCTATTGCTAGATTGGATACCATAAGAATAATGCTAGTTTTTTCTACTCAAATGGATATGAAGTCACCTTTTCCGAATGAATATTCGGATGGGGAAATTTTTATGGAGTGGCATGATGGTTTTCCTATTCAAGGACAAAAAAGAGAAGGTATATCTACTCGAAAAATGCTTTATATGGTTGAAAACAAATTCCAAGGGCCTAATATAGCAAAATGAATGCATATTTGGAAGGATTAGGATTTAAAAAGAGCTTAAGTAATTTATTTTGTACATAAAGAAGGTTGATGATAATATGTTTGTTATATCTCCGTATGTTGATGATCTATTTCTAATAGGAAGTAATGAAGAGTTAACTGATTGATAAGTTCAAATGAGAAAAGATGTATGTTTTTGAGATGATACACCTAAGGAAAATGTCATTCTTTCTTGGAATGGAGGTACAACAAAAACATAATAAAATACTCATATGTTAGCAAAAATATGCTAAGGAGATATTCAAAAATTTCAACATGGAGAGGCACAAGCCAATTGCAACATCAATGAATCAAAAAGAAAAGTTTTGCAAGATGGTGTAGAAAAGGGTGATGAAAAATTATACATGAGCTCGATGTATTTGACTATGACTAGACCAAACATCCCGCATATAATATGTATGTCAAAGTACAACATTTTGTTAGTGAGATTTATTTACAAGCAACAAAAAGAATTGTTAGATATACTAAGTGTACGGTTGACTATGAAACGAGTTGATTATGAAATAAAATTCAGTTAAATTAAAATTTTTACTTTTCTTGGATACTCTAATAGTGATTGGGTCGAATGCATTAATGACACACACTTTAAGATATTGTTTTAGCTTTTGTTTTGAAATTTTTTCGTAGTACTCGTAAAAAGCAAAAAATTAACCCAATCCACGATCCAAGTAGAATATATCGCGACTGTGAATCGAGCCCTCCGAATTAGAAAGCTCATGATAGATTTGCACATGCATCTTAAAAAAAACACACACACACACACAAGTATTTATTGATAAGCAGATTGCGGTTTCAATTGCAAACAATCTAGTGTTCTATGAAAAAGCAAAATATTTTAAGATAAAATTGTATTTTTTTATAGAAGTACAAAAGAAAAGAGAGGAATAACTGATTTACTGTAAAATAAAAAATTAGAATGTTAATATTTTAACCAAAACACTTCCTAAAACTAATTATGAGTTATTGAGATAAAGACTTGGAGTTTATAGCTCCAAAGCCAAGAAGGAGTGTTGAATGTCATGACTTAAGAGCTAATAGTCATGCTCCATGTTCCTAAAAAAATTAGTAGCTACACTCTATGTTTTAAAGTTTAGTAATCATGTACTATGTTCAAAAAGTTTAGTAGTCATGCTCCATGTTTTTATAGTTTAGTAGTCATGTTCTATGTTCAAAAAGTTTAGTAGTCATGCTCCATGTTCTTATAGTTTATGAGATTTTTTAGTTTTCATTTGAAACTTTCTATGTATTTGAGGATGTTTTAAATCAATAAAGATTATAAAAGTTGTAGTTAAAAAAAGAGAAACATATTATTTTTGTTGTGTTATTACACTTTGTTTTTGTCAAAACGCCAACAATAATCAATTGATACTATTAAACATTAATAGAACATAAATGGTTGTTTAGGCAAACTGGACTTGCATAGCTGCATAGAATAGTTATGCGAGACAAACTACTTTTTGTGATATTAATTCTGACTGCCATTCGAATATTTCTCTTCTTAAATGAAGCAGAAATTAATCAGACAAAAACAAACTCCCAATTTTACTTTACAAAATTCCATTCTTACGGAGTCTCATTCTTCCAATGTCTTTGCTTAGACATCATATTGCAGAGCAATTAGCAAAGCTGGGAGTTCATAGATAACATGATCCTCCTAGCTAGATTCCTTTGTTTTCTTCGTCAATTCACATCACTTCTTCTGACTTACTGCCAATACCTATTCTCGTCTCTTTAAAAATAGTTTGCATTGCTGTTTGGTTAATTTGTGTTACTATAGAAAAAAAAAAAAAAAAGGAATAGAAAGAAAGAACTAGTACTGATAATCTCTTAATTAACAACAATTGTCAGATCCAACGTGTTTTGGGATATGTTATATGAATGCACGAATCTGCAGGACATTGAGTTTGGTATGCTTTTACATCTACCTAGGCTCAAATTCAGACAAATGTATATTAGGGAGTACAGATCATAGGTTCTGTTTTAATTATTCACTAACAGCCGCCTAAGACTAGATGGAGTGGACAAATACTCGTTCTTGCGTACGCAATAGCACCACAATTTCGTATCTCGTTAGGTTTCCTACCTAGATACGAAGAGAATTATTGTTAACACTTCTTGGTTTTTACAAAAATCTACATAGCAATTAAGGTTGCCCCTCTTAAGTTAGAACAGGTGCTGGTAGTCGATTGGCTTATTTGTTTATTTATTTATTTTTTCTGGTAGTCAACAATTTAGGTCTCGTTTGCTTAGGAACACGTATCCGACCAAAATGATTAGGTGAGCACCCACTTACGTGATCAACCTTGTGTCATTTGACATCTTATTTTTAAAATTACAAGAAATCAGCCTCTCTCTCTCTTTCTCTCGCAAAAAAGAACTCTTCTTAAATCATACTTTAGACCAGTAGCGTTTTGAAAAAAAGGGCGACAACTCGCCTTTTATTGATTTCTTTTTTTATATAAATGAGATGTTTTCATGATTTTGTTTATTTCCTATCATTAGAGCTTTATCTTTTCAAATCTAATTTGTAGATACGATTTTTTCTCTGAACGAGAATTTTGTATCTTTAAATATGAAAAATTAGGTCATTTAAATAAAAATGTGAGATTTTATATTGTTATTTGAAAAGGATTGTTATATATCATTAGTGTTGAGTGGTTAAAATCTTTGACCAATGAAGTCTGATATGGAATTTGTTCATTCGTTAATCTATGATAACAAAAGATTTATCTACATGAATGATTTGAAAGAAAATCTTATTTTAAGAAACGCTAGTTAGAAAAGTCAAGAAAGCTTAATTTATCATTCATGAAAAGACTAAATGTTACTTGTAAGATTAAAATTCACCAATCATATAAAGGGTTTTATCGAATATATATCTTTGTAACACATATAAAAAGAATCATTTGTTTTGTATCAATTTAATATCATTAAAATTATTTTCTTTCTTAACAATTTATGTGGCATTTGATGGGAGAGAGAAGTCTGGAATGAGGTGAATATTCAGGTTTTTTTTTAGAAAAACAATGAATTAGCAACCGCTAGTGATTAAAATATAATTGTAGAAAATAAAAACCAAGGCAGAGTTTGTGCTGTTTAGACACTACAGTGTCCGTCAACGAGGAAAATCGCTTGGTGGAGCTCTTCGGATTCATTCCATAATATAATTTTAAATAACCATAGTAGTTGTAGTAATGGTAACAGATCATAATATCAGATGTGAATTTTAATTGTTAGAAAATAAAGAATGCAATTATCGTTGTTGTGAATCATTTAATAACTTATGATAAATTTTTAATAATTCAAGTTAATTTAATAATTTTATTAAATAAATAAAATAATAGGATTTTGTTAGTTTTATATATGTTTGTATGTATATATCATTATAATCCATCAATAAACTTGTATTATAAAAAATAAACATAATTCGCTATTCATGATTAGTATAATTGTCAATGACAAATTAAGTTTTAACTTAACCTAAATTTTAACATTATTATTCAAATTACATTCATTCATTCTTTCTCTCTCTCTCTCTCTCTCTCTCTCTTCCTTCCTTTTAGTGGTACTCGAAGAAACTGTACCTCAAAACTTAAAAGACAATGAAAACTTTTGTTTAAATAATACTTGATCATTTTTATATTATTGAATTTCATAAATCACAAAGTTAAATAAGTGAAATACTCGTCATAGGTTTGGATCGTCAGCGAATGTGGAAAATAGGGCCAAGAACTCCCTAGCAATATCAAGCCCAACTGACATTTGGACCATTAAGTTATGGGCTCACTCATGAAAGAGTTAGACCTAATGATGGGGCAGGTCCAATTAAATAGCCGTAGTATGAGATATCGAACGTATTTTTCCCACTTTATTTATTTCCTCTGTTTTCTTCCTTCCTTCACTTTTTCTTCCTTGTTGTTTTCTTGTCTATTTGTTTATTTATTCTCTGTTTTCTTTTTATCTTGGCGCAAACTGTCATGAATATAGACAAAACCATCCACATCCTAGATGATACATTAACGAAAATAAAAAATTAGGGTAAGCGGTGTAATGTGTTTTCATTTTTTTTTTCTTGACTTTCGTTAAAGACTTGCCATTCTGATGGCATCAGTTGAAAATTTAGTAAAAAAAAATGGCATCTTGACCGTCGGATGAAAAGATAGCGTCTTAACTTGTAACTTCCACCTCGGTTTTTGAAACAGCCATTCTTAATATATTGCTTGTTAGGGGAACCAAGAGATTTTCCGCGACCATATTTGGCATCGATAAAGCACTAGAACACAACTGGATAGAGGTTGATTTCTTTATTTCTAATGACCCAAAATCAACAATTACTGGGACTCAAATACATATAGAAAGTAAGCAAATACAAAGGATGATCCAAATCTCTCACAAAATGGGGTCATAAAAACAGGGACTTTGTCTAGTTTCTAACGAAGTTTACACAGTGAGACCATTCACGGTAAATCCTCCATCAACGCAAATGACTTGTCCTGTTATATAAGAGGCTGCAGGCATGCAGAGAAATGCTACCAAAGAAGACACTTCCTTTGGCTCTCCAAGTCGTCCCATTGGAGTGCGAGCCTCGACGGCCCTCAAAAACAATTCATTCTCAAGATCCTGAAACATATTAAAGAATCACTCAGTCCCAAACACTTAAACTGTTAGGTGATATTTTATATATAACCGCACCGATTTCAATTCAAAACCACCAAATTAAGTGATGAAATATTAATTTGTAACCAAGATCAAACTACAAAATCATATGGTTTATTTTCAGCAATGTTCACGGTCACTAGGTAGCTAACATAGAGCACAACACAAGCATGCATAAAAAATTCTTACACGCTCAACAAGTGGAGTTTTGATTAACCATGGCGCAACAGAGTTAGCCCTTATATTGTCTTTCGCCCACTCGCAAGCCAGATTCTTTGTAAGTTGGTTTATTGCTCCTGCAAACAAGTAAAAACACAAATTCACAACCTTCAAATATCTAGTCTTCATTTTCTGAACGGATAGCTTGCTGGGTTGAAACAAAAGTTAATCAAATTAAGGAATATTGGTACCTTTAGTTGCTCCATATAGACTAACACTCACTGATATCACACCAGAAACAGAAGACATAAAAACGATGTTTCCTGCTCCTGAATTTTTCAAAAGAGGATGTGCAAGTTGGCACAAATGGTAGGCGGATTCGAAGTTGGTACTCAAGTAAAGTGAGATATCTTCAGAAGTGAAATCTGTTGTCTTCTTAAAATACAGTATCCCAACATTGTTGACCTAGAGCAACAGAATTGCTATATTATTAAACAAGATAAACATATCGCAAATATCACAATTTACCTTCTATATATTGAGTTCTTAAGCAATGGCAAATTAGATATACTACCAATGAATTAGCAGGGATCAGAATTGAACCCAAAATCTTCAAGAACTGAAAATCCAGTCTTAATTTTTCTTTAACAATAATGATTCTCTTTTGCCAAAGATATTAATAAAAGGTGACTTACAAGGATATTAAGTTTCCCATCGAACAAAGAGGAGACTTCGCTCATTAGCTTCTCTCGTTCAGATTTAGAGGTTACATCGCACACTGAACCTGTGACTTTGAAACCCTTCACCTGCCATTGCTGTAAGCATTCGTTGAGCACAGATTCAGTCCTCGCACATGTATGCACGGTGGCACCTAGCGCTGCCAATTCCTCCACAATAGCATGCCTGACCATATAAGGTAAATGGAAAAGTGAGAAGAAGAAGTTTAGCTGGAGTTTCAACGAGGAAACAGGATTTGCGAACAATCAGTAAGCGATCAGCTTTTTTGGAGAAAATCAAGATCAAATTACACATCCCTAAACTGTATGGTTTCCGTGAACAGAAACAAGAACACATGAAGGGTAGGGAAAAGAAGGAAGAGAGATATTTACCCGAGTCCTTTACTTCCACCGGTGACAAGAGCTGTCGTTCCGTGGAGTAGCCATCTACTGTCCCTGTTGGCATTGTGATCTGCTTGGGCCATCTTCTCTGATCCCTCTCCAAGTTTCTGATCCTTTCAAACTTAGATATGTCATAGCGATGGATCCAATCCAAATTAAATGTGGGAAAAAGTTGCAACCGAAGACTGGGTCAACGAACCACTTCTTCAACAGGTTGCGAAAGAATAGTTGGCTATTTGCGTTCTAGATGGGGGGTTTATTGCGCTCATTGACTTGATAAGGGAAGAAAAGGAACAGGGTCCACAAAATTGTAAAAAAGAAGATTTTTTAAAGCGTGACGGCCCCGTTACGCGTGACAAAAGGAAATTCCGAACCAGGAAGGTTCGTTCTGTGTCAAAAACGAAGGGATGGATAGCACCTGACAGTCTGACACCATATTTGTGATGGTAAACAATCAAATTGCAAATTTTAATTTTTCTAAAATTAAACCTATGTTCGAAAAATAAAATAAAACCCTTAAATCCAAAATTTGTTCAATAAAAATTACCTGGTTTTAGTTGATTTTAACGAGATTAAAAAAAACTCTGCTACAACTTTATCTTGATTGTTAACAAAAATAATCTTACTTTTGATTGACTTTAGAGAAATTTAAAAGTCAAAGCAATCTAAACTAATAATGATGGGTAGCATCATTTTAGATTACCTTAAACAAAGAAGAACAAGGATAATACAAGACATAATTGAGAAAAACCTTTTTAAGAATTTTAGTCATCCATAATCAAAAGTTCTTTTTTCATATTAAATAAAAAATACTTAAATAATGAAACATAAAAATTCGGCTAAATAGAAAAATAATACCTTAATATTTTTAGATTCAATACTTTAATCCAATGCGAACTTAATAAAGACTAATTAACCTAATTTACATCTAAAACAAATATGACTCTCAATATATATAGAAATCCTTATCATAATAAATACCTAATTAAAAAAATAAATAAACCATAAAGAATAAAACTATAATATCGGCCCAATTAAAACGAAAACATTCGATCCAGCTGAAGTAGAATGAGCTGCGCTCCCCTGTCCCCACCCACCAAACGGCAATTGAGTGAAGTTTAGAAAACTTCACCATCATCATTGATCATGGGGTTCACTTTTATGTATATCAATAGGCTCTGGAAATAAATAAAAAAAGACTTGGTTAATGTTCGCATATTTTTATATAATAAACAAAAATTTTAATATGTTTTTAAATCTAAAAAAATATATATTTTTTAATTTGAGTTGATTTCTAATCTATTTTTTCAGTTAAAGTTTTTGATCAAATTAAATATATAATTTGCACATGATATATAATTTAAAATTGTCTTTATTTTTTTAACACAAGTTATCTATATAACTATATCTATTAATATAGACATTAAATTTTGATGAATTCGTTAGAAAATTTGATCTGAAATAGATTAGAAATTAGCTCAAATAATATAGACAAATTAGAAGCAATTTTGTATTTAGAGATATATTAAAAATTTAGCCTATTATATAAAGATATGCAAAAGTATTATTAAAAAAAAATAACACACTATCAACAACATGTTCTTTTATTGAGATGATTTCTAATCTATTCTAATAGGTAAAATTTCAAATCAAATTATATATATATATATATATATATAACACAAATGATCTATATTTATTAATATAAAGATAAAATTTTGATGAATTTATTAGAAATTTTGATCAAAAAGATAAATTAAAAATCAATTTCTCAAATAACATAGACAGATTGAAAGCATTTTTAAATTTAAAAACATATTAGAAATTTGATCAATTATATAAAATAGGTAGAAATATTAATCCAAAAAGACAACATCTTGTCAGTTCAATTATATAAAATAGGCAGAAATATTAATCCAAAAAGACAACATCTTGTCGGTTCAATTATATAAAATAGGCAAATATTAATCAAAAGACAATATGTCAATTCGATTATATAAAATATTAATCTAAAAAGACAACATGCTCTCGGTTGAAAGTAATAGAAAATAAATATAAAATTATTTTGAAATTTATTCTCAGCATGTAAATTTTTAGTTTTTGAATTAAGGTAATTATTTGACACGTTATTAAATCTTTAATAACTTAATGGTTATATTTGATTTTTCTTTTAAATTTAAAATATAACAGTATAAACAGTATAAGTCTATCCAAACTTCAAGTTTAAAAATCTTTTAGCAACAATATCTATTTACATGGGACGAAATAGAATAAAAAATAATCTACTAGTATATTTTTTGTTTTGGATGGTATCTTAAGATTAAACCAACTTCCTCGTCGTGATCAAATAAAACACACATCACCTGACCTGAACAGATGAAAGACACCTACTAGTTTTGTTAACACATGAGCTTCATTAAATTGTTATTGGAAAATAGTAGTTAATTTCACGGTGGTTGGTCAAGAAAATGGTGCAGCATATATTCCAAGTTTTATTTGACTTTTTAACACCATCAAATTAAAGTATTTCCTTTTTCCACCGATTGTCTTTTCAATCATCGGAATTTCCGTGTAGTTTAGAATGTTTGTGTCAAACTTCATGAGTTGAAAAGCATCTTGTTGACCACTTAGGATGCGTGACGTCAGATTAAAGACCAATGCATGTGGTCGTTAATGATCCATGATGTCGAACGGGGCTTGAGGAAGGCTAAGCACGCCACGTGTACGCCTGGCCAACTCCCAGATCGTCCATGGACCGGGGCGGACAACTGTGATCTCACCCGGACGGTTCCGCCTCCGAGATTGAGTGCTCCGTTCATTGGTTATTTACGGTCGTTGGGCTTTAGTTTCTGACTTCCTGTTCCCTCGTCTTTAATACGGAAAAAAATTTTGCTGTTATTTAAGAAATTGAGAAGTAACATCAGTCCTCAACCTATCGAATAATTCTCAATTGGGGGTTCCTAAACTAACAATTTTCTTAATTGGATCCCTAACTGATTTATTAGTATTTCTTAGCCGAGTCCTTTCATCCATCCATGACCGTGGGATTTTATTTGTAATTTTATGCAATCAAAAAAATGTCATTTTGAAGAAATAAAAGTTTGCCAATTGAATCCCTAATCTGTTCCAAAGTAGGAAAAAAGCTGATGTAGTCATTTATGAATTATTAAAATTGTTGAAACTAAGAGACAAGTCAGTCAGCATAGTTGCATTTTTATAAGTTTTTCGTGGATAAAAAGACAAAGAATGAGAGTTCTATCTGTTATTTCACACGGAGCGAGATATCCTGATATATATATATATATATATATATATATATATGTATGTATGTATGTATGTATGTATGTATGTATGAATGTCAATTGGTTGATATATTTAAATGGAATCCTGGTCTAAAAATGAAACTAAACTTAAAAGAAATTTCAGCCAAAGCTTCAGTATAATGATACAAAATTAAATTTAAAAAGATCCCAAAACAACAGCGGTGTTGGAGCTTAATGCTTCTTCTGATTGCTTCTATATAGCATCTCTTTATACTATGGATTGGGTATCACTTCATGTGGCACGATGTTAAACTTGTGCGGATGGAAGCTACAATAGAAATATGATTCAAGTTGAGAAACTGAATGCTTGCTTGTGCATTGAAGCATAAGGTTCTTCAATTGACCCTTGAGAACAAGGTCTCCGAAGACAGAAGATATTAATGTAATCATTTATGAATTGTTAGAGTTACTGGTAATGAGAGGTTAGTTAGTTAGCAGAGTTGGTAGCTTAGTTGGCAAATATACGAGCTAGCTTCCATAATGTTTTCGTTGTTTTGAAACTGCAATGAATAGTTGCAAGATGCGATAAAAAGGACTATACTGTGCATATTGTTTTCATTAAATGTTGCATTTTTGCCCTGAGTGCATTGGAGAGGTGGGCTGGGCTAAAGCTGGCAGCCAAGAGTTAAAATAACAATTCTGCAAGTGATTGAACCACTACCATAATAGATACCTGCTCAACAAGGATAGTTTTGATCAACTAAGTGCAACACAGTTACTCCTGATATTATCTTTTGCCCGTTCACAAGCCAGCTCTTTAGCGATTGGTTCAATGCTCCTGCAAGGAAATGGAAGCAATAACAGCTTTAATAATCATGAAGTAACATGACCGTTGGATGGAGGATCGCCATATCCCGCTGACTTAGATGCAATGAGTAAATTACCTTTACTTCTGCCATAAATAGATGAAACATTTATTGAAATTACTACAGCAACGGACGAAATAAGCACAATGCTTCCTACTCTTGATGCTTTTAAAAGAGGATGTGCTAGTCAGCAAAGGTTGCAAGTAGATTCAAAATTAGTAGCCATGAGAGTTGACAATTCCTGAGCTTGGCTTAGAGCCACCGGTTCCTGCATTGTTTATCTAGAACCAGAAGTTCAGCAGGAGTACCATGAGGGTACAGAAATGAAAAAAATTACTCTAGGAAAATGATGATGAGATATTTTTAAGGCACCATAGTGAATAATTCCCTATCTACATTCTTGCATTTTATATTCATGGTAGAAGAATCTGGGAATGATAATTGAACAATATTGGCATCAAGATGCAATGAAAGATTCCAAAATGAAATTTCTTCCTATCTTGTTCCTTACTTCATCTTGGCCGCGCTTTTGAAAAGTGAGAGTAGCTTAGGCTACAGAACTCTAAAGTGAAATTTTCCTTAGTTCCCAAAATGGCATTCATATTCCATCCTACAGTTCAAATTGAATGAAGGTGACGTACAAGAATGTTAAGATTCCCATCAAACAGAGAGGAAACTCTATTGATTAACTTTTCTCATTCCACTTGAGATGATATATAACAGACCAAACCTGTGACTTTAAACCCCTTCTTCTCCCACGAGTAAGCATTCTTTAAGCTGAGGTTCGCTCCAGGCTGTGTATATACTGTCACACCTAGCCTTACCAATTCTATTACAATAGCATGTCTGGTCAACATATAACAAGAGAATCATAAAGTAAAAGGTTTTCCTCTTTTTATGCATTTAGATTAGCATTCAACTCCAAAACACATGAAAAAGAGCTTCTTTAAGCCCTTAACAAGCGAAAAAGAAGAAGGAGAAGAAGCTAGATGTGTGTTCTTATCTTACCCATATACATTACCCAATTCCTTTTGTTCCACCAGTAACAAGAGCAGTCATTCACTGGAGAGACCAGATACTCTCTGTACAACTTGCCCCTGCCTGTTCCATGATCGTCCTCTGCCCATAACTCTATCGACTTTGGATGCAGCTCAGGATATGTTAATGTTGCAAATGTCAGTACAAAAAACATATGGATGTGGGGTACATGAAAATAACGAGAAACAAAAACAAGGTACAAGAAAACTGAATTTAGAAATGAAAGATTTCTCGCGGGGGGCTTGGGGGGAGGGGGGGGGGGTGGTAGGGGAGTCAATCAGTTGGGTATTAAGCAGAGACAGACTGTCTTGAGCTTTGACATTGTCACATCAGAAGTCAGGGATTTTGACGTTAGTCTCAAAGAAAAGACATATGCAGTGGTTTTGTAGTATTAATTTGTTTCTAGTAGCGAAACATGGTGTATTTAGTTTGTATACCAGGAATGACACATATAAACATTTACTATAATAATAATCTACATTGTGTTGCAGCTGGAATATAAACAAAGCGAGTTGGTTAGAAAGGTGGTTGCAAATTGCTGTGAGACTGGTTTAAATAACAGCAACAACCATTGGAAGATCTTTCTGCTACATAAGCAATGAAACTTAAAGGCTAAAAGGCTAGCTTTTATCTACAATATAAGAGCCATTGGAAGCTTTTTTTTTTCTAAAATTAGAACTGTAAAACCCACTACAGATGCATCCTAGTAAGGTCTCTGCATCAGCTCGTTTTAAGGTTAGGTGAGGGATGCAAATTTTCATTGATTGTAGGCAAGTAGTCATTCGTCTTTACCAATATTCAACACAGTAAAGTAGAAACAAAAGTAAAACTATGCAAGTGAAGAAACTAGTGAGTGATAGACGAGCGAGTATTAATTAAAGTTGCAGTTAGGCTATGGAAGAATATGAGGGAATAGCAGAGAAGCAGAACGACTAGGTTCATTATTGCAAGATATAAGAGGACAACATACGGCCTGTCAGACAGAAAATATCTTATAAAGAGAAAACAGATTAAAGACATTATTTGGCAATACCACAAAGGAAAAGAGGGAATGCCAACAGCTTGCTAGAGACAGGGGAGCCTCAGTGTCCATCTTGAAGTAATCTCCTCCGAATACAAGACTGGCAATGACTTAATACATTGTGGAAATAGTACTGCAATTGCACTCATTATTTCCTATCGCCTTACCACCATACAAAGCCCATGAAGGTATAAGAAATTTTAAATTGTCATACTGATGTTTTTTAATCTTCTGTTATTACAAAAAGTTAGAAATTATTCATAAACAGCGAAGCATCATCGATGGTATAACTGAACAACCTATGAAGCACAATCTGGCTGGTCAAGTGAGTCTCTCAAGTTTATGGAGCAAGACGAGGCGAAGTGTGTAAGAAATAAGCAAGAAGGTAGGGAAAATACAATCTAGCTAATAAACATGAAAAGGATGGTGAAATCTCCTTTGGCTGACAAGTCCCTACAGGAGCTCAGGAGCTACCCGAGACAAATGAGCTCACCATCTCGAGAAAAAGTAAATGGTGAATTGGGCACCTCTAACCATGACTTGGGAAGAAACCATTCACTGACATCCCTCCATCAATGCAAATAATCTGACCAGTAATGTAAGATGATGCAGGTAAGCAAAGGAATGCCACCAGAGCTGAAACCTCTGTAGCTTCTCCAAGGCGCCGAAGTGGAGTTCTATCATATACTTCTACTAAATAACTTTTGTTGCTGAGGACCTTGAGTGAAGACAACAGAATATAGAAATGAGATTACAAACTCTACATAAATAAGTCCACTTCAAGTCTACGCATGGTAGGTTTACACATGCACGTGCTATATTGAGAGGAAAGCAGCACAAAATAATAAATAACTAAATAAAAGGAAAGGAAGGGAAAAAAAATTAAAACATGAACAGCAGAAAAGGGAAAATTACTTGTTCCACCATTGAGGTTTTGATGTACCAAGGTGCAACAGCATTACTTCTTATGTTGTCTTTTGCCCATTCACAAGCCAAATTCTTTGTTAGTTGATTGATTGTTCCTGGGACGAACATTAAGTGCCCAGTCATAAACTCTTCAAGCTTACAATCAACGATCATAAAGCAAGATTCATATGATATGTGTTAATTACCTTTAGTCGCTCCATGCACAGACATTGATTTCAGTGAGACAAAGCCAGAGACAGAGGATGTGAATACAACGCTTGCCTCTCCTGATGCCTTCAAAAGTGGATAAGCAAGTTGGGAAATATGAAAAGCAGATTCAAAATTGGTTGTTAGGACAGTAGAAAACTCTTCTGGTGTAAACTCTACCATCGGTTTCCGAATGTTTGTCCCAACATTATTAACCTACAAATTCAAAATAATAGGCAGTGCCTTTTGCTTTTAACACATGAAAAAGAGAGAGAGAGAGAGAGAGAGAGAGACAGAGACAGAGACAGAGACAGAGAGTATGAAACTAGAGGAAAACAGTTCAGTAATGAAGAGAGTTTTTAATTGATCTCCTACTCAATGATAATGCCAGTTAGTGACTAACTAAATTTGTGCGATTTTGTTAAGTTAAGATGAAAACAGTCAATAAATGTAACTTTTGTGTATATATGGAGCAGTTGATCTCATCATAATTAACAATGCAAGATAGCATTACTAAAATACATTAGACTGCAATCGCTACAACAACCAATTGATTGAGTTGTATTCTTTTGAAGTAATTTTGTTCCCACTTCCAAGCATTGTTGTAACTAAACCACTTAATATATAAAAGGCCATTACTGAGTTATAGTCAGCCTAAAGCAGGATGCTAGAAATGTTCTATTGCTCTTCAACATTTATTTTTCTGGTAATAATTTTTTTCATTACAAGTAGCAGCTCTCCAGAGATAAAGATTTTGTACTTAACTGTCTTCCCTTAGCTGCCATTACTTTATACCTAACAATGACCTTTCGTTTCCAAAAGAAAATACAAAACTGGAGCTACAGCAAGCACTTTCCTTTCATTGATAAAAGACTCCTAGTCCCACAAAGTTACATGTATAGCATTCAATGTAAGAAAAACGAGGAAATGAAAGAGCTTAAAAGGATGTCGAGCTTGCCATAAAAAACTGAAGACACAGTCTCCATAAGCTCCAACTGAGACATCACAGACTGGCCCACTAATCATCCCACCAGACCACAAATCATCCCAATCCTCTAAGCACTTATCGAGCTCGCTTCCGTTCCTACAACACGTGTGCACTCTTGCTCCAAAACCCACCAATTCCTCAACAACTGCTCGCCTAAACAACAGAAAAAAAAAAAAAAAAAAAAACACTCATTTCCAAATTCATATTATAACTTAAAATAAATCAAATTCAATGTATATGAACAGGTACCCTATTCCGCGAGTTCCGCCGGTGACAAGAGCTGTTTTTCCGTGAAGGGTCCATCTGTTGTCTCTTGTGCCACTGGTGCTGCTGCTGCTTGTATTGTGTATCATGCTTCGGGACGAAATGAATCTCTTCGTAGAATGAAGTGGAGAGTTGTTAGAGATATTTGTATGGGCACCTCTTGATATTTGGGGCTTGAAGGAAAGGGTTGAATAGGAAATGGGGTAGGTTTTTAAAGAGAAAGAAGAAGAAAATGAGGGTGAAATTGGGGTTGATTTCAGCGCGCAATGCATTGCTTTTGCCTTTCCAGGTTTGATATCAGTTAAAAGAGAACACCATCTATTACTTCTCCAGCGTGCAAGAGAAAATAGACCAATGGGCCTTTGGCGATTTGGCAGTGTCCGAAGTCTCCATTCTCATTTAGCAAATTTAACATGTAAAATTTGGTAAAAATTAACACTTCTATTACTGGTGTATAAGCTACTGTTGTAATGTATTTTGTACAGGAAATTAGTAAAGACACTTAGGAAGTTATAGCAGGTATAAATCAGTTTCTTTTTGGTTAGCTTAGCTAGCAACACACATGCCTCATGTATATAAGAGAGCCGTTCGCTACACTCTAAAAATACAAGTTAAATTTCAGTTAAACATATTTCGTTATGGTATCGAGCAAAACTCGTTTTCTCTCTCTTCGTTTAGCGAAATTTTCTCTTCTCTTCCGCATTTCTCAAGAAACAAATAGTTTCTTTTATTTTATTTTCTCAAGAAACAAACATAAGACTTGTTCCCTACTCGCTTAACTTTCGATTCTCATTAAGCGTAACAATGGCGGAGGATCAATTCACTTTCTCCGGATCCGAAGATCAATCTTCAAATCCTTTCTTCTTGCACGAGTAGTGAACATCCCTCGTTAGTTTTAGTTTCACCTCTCGCTCACTAACTCGAATTATCACTCATGGTCAAGATCCATGAAAATGGCTTTATTGTCAAAGAACAAGCACGGATTCATCGATAGATCTATTCCGAGTACTCGCAAAGATAGATCCTCCGTGTACTAGTTGGGAAAGGTGTAACTCGATGGTGCTCTCATGGATAATAAACTTCGTTTCTCGTTCAATCGCGCATAGTGTTCTCCGGTTGGATACGGCGATTGAAGTTTTGGATGATTTGAAGGAAAGATTTTCTCACGGAGACTCTTTCGAATTGTAGATTTGTAAGATGAAATCTCCTCGTTTCATAAAGGAACGGAGACTATTACACGATACTATACTTCAAGATTCTTTGGGAAGAATTAGTAAACTTACGACCGAGTGCCTATCTCGCTCATGTGATCCTTGTTGCACTTGCAAAGCTCTTAAAATTGTGAAAAGTATCGAATGAATGATTATATGATTTGTTTTTTGAAGGGATTGAATGAAAATTACTCTATTGTTAAGTCTCATATTATGCTCCCGGAACCATTGCCAAAAATCAACAAGGTATTTTCACTTGTCTTCGCAACAAGAAAGACAAATGAATGTGGGAACTTTCTTGTCCAAACCACGATTTGGAGTTGCACCTATCGCCTTTATGAGTAAAGGAGTACCTACACCCTATCCACAACGAAGGTTTCAAGGGTTTTAGGCTACATTCAACAATAAGCCTATTTGCTCTCATTGTGGTTTACCGGGACATAAGGTTGATACACGTTACAAAAAATATGAATTCCCTCTTGGTTATAAGTCAAAGTCTAAAGCTTCGGTATTTATACTAGTGCCAATAATTACTTTCATAAAGGTGATGTTATGAATCGTTTGCGGAGTTGCAAGTTTATCCACGAAGCATCTATGTCGAGTCCTTGTATTGACGAGTCTTGATTCAAGTGGCAATTCCATTGCTTCAAGTCTCCAAACTCATGCTTCTCTGTATCATCCTATGCCCTTTACGACGGACCGATATACCAAACTTCTTGCATTAATTTAACCACCTAGTATCGGCTCTCCTATTTAAGTAAATTCCCTTGAAACTCGGTTTTCTTCGACTGTGACATGTCGAGTAAATTAGTTTTTTCCTGCCGTTCTAAATCTATAAATCAAGCATCTAATTGGATACTTAGACACGGGAGCCACGGATCATATTGTGTGTTCTTAAAGTTTTTTTGTCAATATCAACCAATCTCTCATATGATTGTCAAACTACCAACTAGTCAACAAGCTCCCATTACTCATATTAGTATTATCCGAGCTTTCACCTGCTCTAGTTCTATTCAATGTCTTATTTATGCCTTCATTTTCTTACAATCTAAGCTCGATAACGAAATTGACTTCGAGTCCTATTGTTCCTTAACTTTCCATCTTGATTTTTGCTTCATACAAGACACGAGAAGCTTAAAGATGATTGGTATAACTAAACAATATCAAGGGCTTTATCACCTCTTGGATTCGGAGCTCCTCTTTGTTCACCACTTATCTCGAGCTTCGTGTACTACAAGCCGGTCTTCCAAGGCTTCGCCATTCTTTGGCATAATAGGTTAGGACATGCTTATGAACCTAGAATTAAAATCCTTCATTCTCTAGATTCAACTATTGTAAGTGACAATGTGTCTTCTTATGAATCATGCCACTTAGCTAAACAAAAATGTCTTGTTTTCCTTGTCGGTAAATCGATTTCATCTTAATGTTTTGAGCTTATTTGTATGGATATATGGAGTACATTCTCTGTACCTATTGTATCTAGTCATCAATATTTTCTCACAATCATTGATGACTTTACTAGATGTATATGGATATTCCTAATGAAATCAAAATCCGAGGCTAGACCTCTTATGTAGCATTTCTTCACATTTGCTTCTACTCAATTTTTTGTCAAAATCAAGTGCATACGAACTAATAATGGCCAAGAATTCAATGTGTACGTGTTCTATACTACACATGGTATCATCTATCAAACCTTTTACGTTTCAACTCCACAACAAAATAGTGTGGTTGAACGTAAACACCAACACATTCGATGGTAGCTAGATCATTAAGATTTCAAACTAACCTCCCTTTATCTTTTTAGGTAGAGTGTGTCTTGCATGCTGTCCATTTGATCAACAGATTGCCTTCTCCTGTTCTTGATAATAAAACATCTTTTGAAGCTCTATACACCACTCCTCCCATTTTTTTCCCATCTCAAATTTTTTGGGTGTTTATGCTTTACATCAACTCTTGCTCAATCCGGATCTAAATTTGATCCAAGAGTTGTCAAGTGTGTCTTCCTTGGTCATCCTTATGGCACTAAAGGCTACAAGTTATATAATCTTAGTACTCACCAATTTTTTATCTTTAGAGATGTTATATTTTACGAAAATATTTTTCCAATGCAATATGTAATTCACGCATCCGACCTTGTCTTGCCTACTTATTTCACCCTCGGATTTTGCTTTTGATCCATCTGCTACGTTATTCCCATATCTTCACATGTTTCTTCATCTCCTACTCCCTCGACTTTTTCCCCTGCCTCTTTTCCTACTCCTACCCAACCACTTAGAAAATCCTCTCGGCCAAAACATATTCCCTCCTACCTTCATGCCTATGATCATTATTCCATTATAGAGTCTATAACTATTACCGATCATACTTCGGCTTCCACAAGTTCCGTTGCTCAGTCGAGTACTTCTCCTTATCTTCTTGTTAATTTTTTATCTTACTCATGTCTTAGTCCTTCTCATCATATTTTTTCCATCTATGTTAGTACATTTACTAAACCCAAAACTTACTCTAAGGCCATTAAGCATGAATGTTGGAGGCTTGATATATAGGATTAATGAAAGGCCCTTCGGGATAATAATACATGGGTCTTGATAAATTTGCTCGAAGGAAAGAGGTCCATTGGGTGCAAATGGGTTTATAAAATCAAATATAAGTCCGATGGTTCCATTGAAAGGTTTAAAGCTCGTTTGGTAGCTAAGAGCTATACACGGGAGGTTGGAATTGATTACTTGGACACTTTTAGTCCGAGTTGCCAAGATGTTTACAATTCGCACACTTCCGTTGTTGCCTCTATTAAGCACTCGGCATTTAGAATAACTTGATGTCAATAATGCTTTCTTGCATAAAGATCTCACTCGAAGAGGTTTATATGAATCCTCCTCCCGGCCTTACTCCTTCCGACTCAACACAAGTATGTAGGCTTCTTAAATCTCTCTATGGTTTGAACCAAGCCGGCGAGCGGTGGTTTGTACGGTTGTACTGCAGCATTACTAAACCAAGGTTTTTCACAAGTCATTGCTGACCATTCTCTCTTTTTTAAGCATTTTGGTTCTCATTTTATTACGGCTTTGGTTTATGTAAATGACATTATCTTGGCTAGTACTTGATATGCACCGGATTACTCACCTTAATACTTTCTTGCATGATCGAGTTTAAGATTAAGGATTAAGGTTCTCTCAAATTTTTCCTTAGTCTTGAGGTTGCCTAGTCATCTCAAAGGATTAATTTGTGTCAACGTAAGTATGTTTTGAAATTGATCACTAATTCAAGTTTCCTCACTGTTAAGCTTCGTTTTTGGTCCTATGATTCCAACTCATCGATTGTTCAAAGCTCACGAGTCCGACCCTTGCTAATCACCCTACCTACCGTAGCCTTATTAGAAAATTGCTCTATCTCACCACCACTAGGCTCGACATTGCCTTCTCTATTCAACGACTTTCTCAATTCTTGGATTGTCCTACTGAAAATCACATGAAGGTTGTCCATGGAGTCCTTCGTTACATCAAAGTCGCCCTGCACGGGGCTTGTTTTCCTTGTCACTAGTTCTTTGCAACTTCGAGGCTTCTCGGATTCGATTGGGCCACTTATTCTAACACCTGCAAGTCCATCACCAGCTATTGCATGTTCTTAGGTTCTTCGCTTGTCTCCTAAAAATCCAAGAAATAGGCAAGCTGTTTCCAAGTCTAGCTCAAAGGCGAGTATCGTGCTCTTACCCAAGCTATATGTGAATTACAATGGTTACTCTACTTACTCGTATGATCCGGGCATTCAACATCCCACCTCTACTCTTCTCTTCGTGATAATCGATCGACCTTGCACATACTGCCGATCCTACCTTCCATGAACGTACCAAACACATTGAACTAGATTGCCATATTGTGCGACTAAAACTCCGGGAAAGTGTTATCAAGCTTCTCCCTGTTTCCTCCTTGAACCGGACTTGCAGATTGCTTTACCAAACCACTTGTAGTGTCTCTCTTCCGTAACTCCATTTCCAAGTTGGGCATTCACGATGTGTATGCTCCAACTTGAGGAGGATTACTGGTGTATAAGCTACTTGTATAGCTATCATATAATGTAATGTATTTTGTATAGGAAAATAGTAGAGTCAATTAGGAAGTTATAATGTCGATTGGGAAGTTATAGTAGGTATAAATCGGTTTTTTTTTTGTTAGCTTAGGCGGCAACACATGTGCCTCATGTATATAAGGGAGCCGTTGGCTACACTATAAAAATGCAAGTTGAATTTCAGTTAAACATATTTACGTTAACTTCATTTTTGTTGTAATGATTGGATTAATTTTTTATCATGGCGGATATTATGTCCGTTTAGAAGGGTTTTGATCGTAGGAAAGGAAAAAGCTGGTTAAAAGGTTTCTTGTAATCAATAAGTTGTTGACCAGCTCTAAATGATATCAGCTAAACGATCCATCGGTTTTGTTTAAGCCTTGACTAAGTTATTTCTTATGACGGTTGTTGCTGTTGTTTTTTTTAAAAAAAAAAAATTATTGAAGCATATTAAGTAAAGATAACGATAGTGTAAACTGGAAACTATAACGTAATTGTCTCATTCAGAGAAGCATAGCAAATCGGATCTTTAATAATTCTTTTACTTTATTATTGTATTATTATTAATATTATTAATGGTAATTTTCATTTATCAAAAGCTAAGCTGCGTCACCGTAAAATATATGACTACAATTAACACCTTGGCAGAGGAAAAAAAAAACTTTAAGCTTGAGAGCGAAGTTGGAAAGAAGGATGTCATTGGAAATAGCACCCTAAAGTCGCATCTATAATTTTGTTCTACTTCAATATCAAGTGTCCATGTACAGAATATATAGAAAATGGTCAATCCCAGCAGTGTCGGCTATATATATATATATAGTTTATGCAGTGAAGGAGATAGCTAGGTAACGTTGCATTTTCCCAGTAACAGTAGCAGCTATAAAAACAAAAAATATTGCCGTTTAAGAATTCATTTCTAGAAGTTTATCTCTTAAGCTTCCACTTGGCAGACTCAGATTAATGGCACACGACAAAAGTTTACCTTGGAGAAAACCTGCCAAAAACAGGACACAATGTACGCCTTGGTACATCCCCATAGTATCTTAATTATAAAAATAGCAGAATTTAACGTTTCTTAGAGATTGATAAAGTAAAGCTTCCTGTATATATATATATATATATATATTGCCAGCGGAAGAAAGATATGTGTGACATTGAAAACTATAATTAATTAATGTGGCACTACATGTGAGTTTAAGTACCTCTTTTGTTTTCGACGGAAGGGACGGTTAATAAGGTGCTTTTTAATTACAGTAATTTGAAGTTATTCTAATTGTAATAATCTCAAGTATATTTAACCGTTGGATCAAAAAATAAAATTACAACCTTTAAAATAATAAATTTATAAGAAAATAAGAAACATCTTTAATATATATATATATAGCGAAACATCTTATAAAATTTAACACTCCTATATTAGACATTTAAAGTCACTATTACAAAATTAAATTATATACATCAATAAATGATTATTATTTTTTTATCTGAATAGATACTTATAATGTCTTATAAAGCTCTAAACTCGTGATTGACTAGGTAATAACAATAAATAATTTTGATGAATGTGTATATATAATTTTTTTTTAAAAAAATAGATTGAACACCAAAACCAATATTAAATTGAGAGCAATAACAATCTAAAACTAAAGAAATCAAAATAAATTGTTTTTTGTTCTTTATTGTGAAATTTATGTAAATTGTTACTTTAAATATATAACGTAGTATTTACAGAATTATCACTAAATAATCATATGGTTAAAATAAATTAAAATTATTTAGTACTATTATTAGTTTATGAGTTATGACCATACAAAATCCAAATCTAAGAGCGCGATCGAGCTAGATTTCTCTTTTGTCATTCAAAGCATTATTTGTTTCCTTTAATCATATGCTTATATTTATGAAAACCTTTAACTTTTTTGCTTTTTTTTTTTTATATAATGTGAATGAAATCTCAAACCTATATTTTTCTATCCATTTTTCATGTACAAACATATCTACCTAATTGACATTAATTCACAATAAATGGTCATAAAGGAGCAAATAAAATGAATGGCAACTAGTCAAATTAATAGGTACCTGTAGGGTTTTATAATGCCCAATTATATATATATATAATAAAATACTTGTAAAATCATTTTTTTTTGTCATTTTGAAGAGATAATTGTATTACAATTACAGAGCCTTTTTTATATGAGTATAATTATCTTATTCATAGTAAAAGCGTAGTCAAAAGACATTTGGAGTGTCTAATAAAATAGTTTTAACTTCACTAAAAAATAATATTATTTAAATAAAGAATACATTTTTTTATTATTTTTTTGTATTAAAAATAAACTAAAAAAAATATAACGTAGAAATTTTAAAAGACACTATAAATGTCTATTAATCTAAAAGAATTCATAATCCTACATTTTAAATGTGATTCATAAAATTTAATTGATATTTTTAATTTTTAAAAATTCTTGAGATGTTAGTTCTATGATAAACAATTTTTTTTCATAATATGGTATAACCATATTAATGTATTGCTTACATGAAGTTAATACAAATGTAGTTACTTCAATTACTATAGAAAAACCTGACGGTTAAACTTTTTTCTGTTGGTATCAGTTCAATTAATTGACTTTGTTTTTTCAGTTGCATTTATGTTAGGATGATATCACAAAAAAAAAAAAAAATGTAAGAATATTTTTTCATATATTCACTTGAATGAATTGTCATTATTCTTAAAATATTGGGTTTAATTTGTCCTTAAAGTAGAGTAATTTTCTAATATATTTTTATTCCTAATTGAACTTATTTTTCCTTATATATATTAAGTGTCTAATATATCATTTTGACAAGATTTTAAAGTTAAATTATCAAAATTAGTCACACAATTTGCACATGAAAGCCTTCTATTTAACTGACTTGCAAAGATATTTTAAGATTAAAAATTAATCATGTGAAAATCAAGTAAATAATTTCAATGGTTTAACCTAAAAATCTTAAAAATATGTTGAAAATTTAATATATATTCAAAAATAAAATTAACTCAATTAAAAATATAGTGATAAATTATAAAATTGTTATATATATATATCATGTTATTAGAAAATAGCATTAATTATATGTCTATTATCTAAATACGCGAACTTAAATTAGTCTTATGTCAAATTGGGTTTGTCTATATGCTCGATCTCTGCATCAAAATATTTATTCATATATATATATATATATATATATATATATATATCCCTTTTTTTTTTAGAGTGCCAATTACTTTTTAATTAGAACTTGAAACCCATGCCAAAATCACTAGTTGTGGTAAAAGTATATAAAAAATATATATTTCTACTTATTTTAGCCACTCTTGGTAAACTTCTAAGATTATATATAATTGTCATACGAAGACATAGTTTAATTGGCAGTGAAACTTCTTCGTGAAAAAGGAGATTCCAAATAGAGACTTCTTTACTAAATTTGTTCATCAATTGTAAAATTAATATATATATATATATACACACATGTAGCTTAGAGTAAATTATAATAAATTATAAACCTCCTCTTGAAGTTTGAGGGTTTTGCAAATTTCATCCCCACACATATATATGTTTTGCTTTTGCTTTCATTCTAGGCCTTTCATGTATCTACCTAAGTTGAGTACTTAATCTTTTAGGAGGATAATTGAAAAAAAAATTCAAAGATGTTAAGGGAGATATGCGAAATTGTTTTATAACCTTCAACAAATTATATTATGCCTTCCCTAAAAACAAACAAAACAAATTATATCATGCCACGTAAAAACAAAATATTAAGAAAAAAAGTTAACAATGGATCGAGCGCGCGCGCGCGCACACACACACACACACACATATATATATATATATAGATGACAATAAAACTAAAATTGAAAAATAGGAAGAAACTAAGAAAACTTATCATTTAGAGAGACATTTTTTTTATATATCTCTATTTTATATTGAAGATAAAATTAATTCTGTAATCGTACTTGATTGAAAAAAAATAAATTCCATTGCTTTAATTTCGAATAAAATTAGTGCTATTTAAGGAAAGACTTGAAGTGACTTCTAAATTATATTATGCCACGTAGTTTTGTTAATATTAACCAAAGAAATATTTTATATGCCACCTGCTGGTAGAAAATACACACATATATAAAAAAATCAAATAACATCCTCAAAAAGTTACATATCATTTAATATTTTACTTCTAAGATCAATTTTTGTAAGATCGCTCTTGTCTTATGCATTAATTTTCAAATCTTTTTTTTTTTTTTTTTTGGTCTAGAAGGAAGGAATCCTTATGATCCCCCTCAACACAATACACTACACGCAAAAAACAGCCAGTTGACGATTCTCTCTCCCTTTCTTTCAGCAAGATCGTTGCTGGATAATTAATGGATACTGATGATCAACCCAACCAAGAAAATCCAGACCAGGTGAACCCAGATCATGAACAAGATGCAAGCCAAGCAAGGTCCTACGAGTGTATCTTTTGCAAGAGAGGTTTCTCTAATGCACAAGCACTAGGAGGCCACATGAATATTCATCGAAAAGACAAAGCCAAGCTCAAGCAATCCTCAAATGAAACTCAACAATCTTTGGACATCCTAAAGAGAAATCCCTCGTTTTCTCCAGCTGTTACTAGCCTAATGGAATCCAAGTCAAGCAAAGATGAAAGCTTTATCAAGTGGCCTTTTATCGTTGATAAAGCTGGAAGTGATCATGATGACACTAAGAGGGACAAAAACCTTGTCGGAGAAATCCAGAAACTAGAATTTTTTGGCCAAAAATCATCCAGTGATGAAGATCGTCAAAAACCAAGCAGTCAAGTTCATGGCACCAGCAAGGAAAGTAATTCGTCGTCAAGCTCAGAGATAGACCTTGAGCTTAGACTAGGGCCTGAGCCTCAGGACTCATCGCCGGGTACCAAAAAGTTCTTTTGAAATTGAATAACTTATATATATATATAGTATCTGTCTTTATTAATTTTTTCTAATTTTAGGATTCATTATGGTGGTACTCAAAGCAAAATACATGTTACGTATCTTTGCTTTGCATTGCATCTTCTTGTTCAAACATGGAATTTATAGCTTACAATATGTGGTTTATTGTGGAATATTATTTACTATAAGAAAGACAGCATTAATCAACTTGGTTAAGTTTGATTTACTAGGTTTGCTGATGAAAGAAGCCGCCCTATATGATCAATGAATCAAAATGTAATCCTTATTTAGTGAATTGCAATTAGCGAAGACAGATTACATTTTCTTTTTGCGATTAATTCACTGATCATCATCAGATCACATAACACTTCAAATCTAGGAAATGTAACATGGCCCTATTGCGTAGTTTTAAATTAGCTAGCTAGGGTTGATATGGAATGCTCATGAAATTAATATAAACAATGATCGTAGTATAAACCCTAGCTAGTAGATTGTTTTCTTAGTGTAATTAAGGTAGGCGGCCAGTTTATGGGAAGCTTCTTTCTGTTACTCGGAAAAATTAAAAATCCAATCCGGCCAGTGCATGCGTGTGATGAGCAACAAAGTCAATGATGAACTTAATTTATTTAGGTTCATAGGCTAGGACCTTATGGCCGGTGCTTAATTTTCCCTAGATTGATAAAATGCACCTACGTAGTTTTGTCATATCTAAAACAGGCACAAATACACATGAATTTCCTCTTTCTATCGTTTGCTCCATATTTATGCAAATGCATACACTGGATTGTTTCAATCATCAGTACTCCAGCTAGCTAGTGGTTTAACTTTGCGCTTAAAATGTTTTTTTGAAGTTGTTCATGTTTTTTTGAGGTGAAATGCTATTAATCAATATTCCTATCGTTCTCGGGGAGGAGGCTAGTCAATATAATCGCAAGAGGTATCAAGCATAGATATTCATAACATTTTCTATTACTCAAAAGAGATTAATTTTTGAAGAAGCTGTATGTTTATGGAGTTAGATAATTGAAATTAGGTTCATTTAAAAGACTTAACTTGAAGTCTATTTTTTTAGGATCATCAATATGAGATATATGTTCTAACACTCTCCTCATTTCCAACCTCTTAAAAAGGAACCGATGTCATATAGAGTTAGATAGTTGAGATTAAGTTTCAATCTTATATGTTAATCATCTTCGGTTTAACTATTTAATATAAGATATGTGCTTTAACACAGTTTCTATATCTTTCAAAGAAGTAATTGAAATACATAAAGACTTTAAATTTAGCCTCACTTAATGATCACAAAAGGAAAAAACTCAATATCGCACGAAAAAGAGTTCATTAGCTAGCATAAGCATCTATGGAATTAATATCATCAATGCTGTACACAATTTGGAAAAATATGACACATTTTGGTGGAGCATGCTGCAGCAGTTTCCAAAGATTCTGGTCTGCATTCCTGATATGGATATGCTTTATCTTTGCTTATAGTTATTATAAACATGATTGTAGAATTCATTTTCTAAAATCATAGGTATTTTGCTAAAAAGAGAGAGGGGGGGGGGGGGTGGGGTGGCGGGGGAGGCTAGTGCATGTAAGAGGATTCTGATTCTGTAATTTTTTAGTTCACTGAAAATCTTTTATTAATGTTCACTCGTACACGAATTTAGGTCCTTATTCGAGATTAAGCCTCTCAACAACAGGTGAGATTATGTAAGACAATTGAATAATATCAAAGTGGATTGCTATGTTGAACTTAAGGGGGAAAAAAATTGTGATTACTAGAAATTAACATTTTTAAGAAGAAGTTTGGGATTTTTTTTTTTTTCTTTCTCATCTTTCCTCTTTCAGCACATCTTATTATTCCAGCCGTCAAGGAAATTAACTTTCTTCATTTTCATGCAAGTCAATTGACAAACAATACATCCTTTTTTCTTTGTATCTTAAATTCCTAATTTTTCAAACCCTCACTCCCCAGAACGCACTTGTGAAGTAGAACCCTACATTATGCAGCTTGTTGAGCAAACATTTCTCTTCTCTATTTCAGGTACTAACCAGAAAATATTTTGCGGTAATAATTAATTAAGTGTCCGGGTTAAATTCACAATTGATATAGCTTCTTTGGTTCTAAACTTTAAAATCTCTAATTTTTCAAATCCTTTCTGGTCACCACAAAGCAGTTTTACTATATTTGATAACTAGAAAATAATATATATATCGTGCTCTCCTTGCTAAAACTTTTGCCAAAAATGAGAGACAAGTCCCTTTCCTTAAAGGAAGGAAGAAATTGTGTGATGATTTTTATTAAGTAGTGACTGTAAATTTATGCGGCTTATATACATAAACAAAAAAACCATTACTATGAGCAAAATAAGCATTTGAATGACTAGCTAGTGGAAGTGGTGACTGTAAATTCCTGCAAATTTAGTGTCAGTTTAAAATTTTTATGCAGTAGCCCCATGGTATATACGGAGAGAGGAAGACCAATTGTATACGCTCAACTTGTATATCCAGTTATAATTAAAATGCCTCACTCATGATTGAAAAAGCCTTTTCTTAATCATTATTTGGAGTTTTGATACATGAGTGATGTACTGACTGATGAGAGTTGATTAATGGAAAGACAGGCCGACCGAATAGCATAAAATTTCGATCTAGCTGTTGTAGCTTGGGAAGCAAGGTGACGATGGAGACATGCATATGACAGAAAGCAAAGTAGCTGTTTGTTGGTATAGAATTCTCTTGGCAAATTCTTGATTTGCTAGTTAATCACTATGGTCTTTTGTCTTTAACTAAATCGATTTTTTGTTGTTGTCGTTATGATCATAGTTCGCATTGTTGTTGTCGTCGCTGTCTTTCTCTTTCAACTTAGACTAAGGCATATGAAGTTTTATATATTATTTTATTCTCAAAAAAAGAAAAAAAATAGTATTTATTATGTTCACAGTAGCCGGTTTTGGAGGAAAAAAAGTCTCCAAAACAACAAACACAGAAGGAATTGCCGATGTATAGGTTATTGCTTGACAGATGGACCTTTTGAAACTTAACACAATAATTTAAAGCATTATAAACGATCCAGATTTCAAGAATATGACAACCAGACAGCATTTTGATAAGAGTAATAAAAGACTACAATTGCATGCACAGTATGAAGGAGACTATGTAGGGATCATTTGGCTTAGTCGATTATTGTTGTCTAATTCCATTCTTTCAGAGGAAACTAGGAAAGCCATTGAAAGCAGCCATTCTCCTTCAAGCTGGCTATGAAAAATGACAAGGACTACAGAGTTCATTAATTAGAATTAATAAGGTAAAACTGGATACGTACTGTTGTATTTCCAGATTAACAGTTATAATCGTCTTTGTTCCATTTTCTACATCTCCTCCAGTAGTTCAGTTATTAGTGTTCTGCTGAAATTCTCTTCAAATTACTTTTAAGCACTACGTTCCCTATCCCAAGCATCTGCTGGACTCTGATTTGTATAGTGCACGCATCCATTGCATCTACTTTCATGTTCATATTGCTCTAGAGCATGAAGTGCCGATAAGAGAACCAGAAATGTTTGGATTGGAGCCTTTTTCAAATTGAAGACATTTATTTTTTATGTCACATGGAAAATAATTTGAAAGCTTTAAAATGGTACATGATGGGCTTAGACTCACGTTCAACCGCATTACAAACATTAAAACACATCTACATCAAAATAGCCTGAAAGAGAAGATGGTTACAAATCAAGCAATTGCCTCAATCATCATCGACGTATATGGTTTCTTGCTGGAAAAGGCCACCAAAGAGCTTTCGCACTTCTTTCTTTGACTCTGTCTCTTTAGCCTTCGGCTTTGGCTCCTCTTTTGGTTTCGAAGCACGAGGTTTAGGTGCAGGCCGTTTAACTACAGCTTTCTGGACCGGCAAAGAACGAGCCTTGGCTTGTCCCCTAACAGTAGCAATCTGCACTTTTGGTTTTTCACCAGTCGTTTGAACCGTAGTTGAAATCTGGGAGCTGAATTTTTCCCAGGAAAACCCTGAACCAAATTCTTTTGCTTTACTCAAGAAGTTTTCCACTGATTCCCCTGCAACCTCAACCTTCTCCTGGGCTTCTTCAGCTATACTAGAAGCTTTAGCTTCTTGCTCTGAACGCATTTTTACTTCCTTTTCCAGCTTTTTGGCTGCCTCGGCTGCGTCAAATGCTTTCTCGGCCTCTTCCTCGGCTTTTGCCTTTGCAAGAGTTTCTGCATAAACTTTTCTTCTTTCATCTTCAGGAATGGCACTAGATGCAAATATCACTCACAAAAATTAGCATTTTATATTCCCAAACAATAGACCAAATTGAAAGAAAAATTCTAAACACAATTACCTGAAAAGCTCCTCCACAGGCTTTGATGGTGCCGATGGATTAGTAAAAACTTCCACAACCTGGAACAGAAAAGATGCAGCAACAACAATTTGGGAGTTATTTTGCAATCAGTAAGCGTACAGTAGCGTTTCATAAAATGAGAGTTGGAAAGTTCTGCTTCATACTTATTTATCACTACCATGAAAGAATTAGGAAAGATATCCCGTGAAAGGAACTAAGGACATGGAAGGTTCATCGTGAAAAAATAAACTAACATCATTCTTTGTGTGTAATATTTCTTAGTTGTGGCATCTTATTGCTTTCTTTAATTTCAGAATGGAGTTCCTTTATAAAAGTTACCATGATTCTATAATTTCCAGATCCCAATTCTCAGACATGTACCTTATTTTCTGCCACGGATGTATTTGAGAAAACATTTGCCACCACCAAGGCTATCTGGGACTTGGCTACCTAACAATGTGATATCCAAAAATAAAGCCTTAAAGGAAAACAATATGCAACCAAGAAAATAAATACTACCGACGAAACAGAAAATTAATTGCATACATTACATTACTTTGAAGTCGTTTGTACCGGTGCTTCCTTCAGCTGACACAACTACATTATAAGAACTCTCTGGTGAAAAATCTTCAGTCAAACTTGTCTTTATAAAAGTGTAGCTAACATTTGTTTCGATCACTTTCTGCAAGAACTCAACCACAGATAGCTGAGATTGTGAGAACAGATTGTTAAAGAATGATTTGAATCCATCTAGCACATTATAAGTCGATACACTCGCTGGGTTCCCATCATAGATTATTGCAACGTGGCCGACTTCTGCTAGCTGAGCAGCTTCGATTACTTGCAAGGCATCCAATGTGGAGACCACAGAGGTGGGACCATTCTCTTTTGGACCAATTGTAACCACGACTTTGCTTGCATTGCCAATTGCTTTGGCAATTGATTCTGCATCTTGGAAGGTGGATTCAACAGCATTGAGGCGCTTTGATTCTTCATTTGATATGATCTGCGGCAGGAATAGCAATTTATAAAATAAAAGCATATATGTCATCTGTGTGTATCATAGTACAGACGTTGCCTCTGCGAACTTAGCTTCCAATCCAGCAATGTCCTTACTCATTTTTACTACAGACTTGCTAACAGAACTTATCCCAGGATAGACAGAAGACCACTATATATATACACAGCACACACACACACAAATTAACATTTTCAACAACAATATAGATCAGTATATTAGAACGTTGTTACTCTATCCTTCAAGGAAGAATTTGGATTAAAATCTCTTCTGGAAAATATGAATCCAAGAAAGGATTCCAGAATCAAAAGTTAGGAGAGGATTCGCCTATCCATTTATCCATAAAGTGGTACTGGAGTCCAGGTTGGAAACCTTAAATCAAATATAGGTACAACCTGATTAGTTTTCTCTATTCGGTAAGATGCTTTCCTTTCCATTGGTTGACGAGTTCAGTTATGTATTTTATGATAATTTGACCACATCAAGCAGAATGTACTTCTTTCTTGGATATGCTTGTGAACTTGATCCACTAAATATGCACCCCTTAAGATTGGAATAAACAAATTACAATTACTAGTTTTCAATAAATAACAAACTCAGACGGAACCCGATTTTTCCAGTTGTGTGAAGTAGCTAACCTTGTACTGCGCGGCAAGACGAGCCAACTCCTGAGCAGCTGCAAGCTGAGGAACCCCAGCTCTTACACTAAAACCTTCGCGCAGTAGTGCCTGAGCAATACGAATGCCAGCCTGCCCTGTAGCACCAGCAACAAAAACTGTACCAGGGTCCTTCCTTCTGAAGTTCGCAAATGGCAACCCGGAAGCAGGCTTGCTCACAACAGGTACCAAAGACTTGAAGTCTGGTGCCTTGCCAAAGTTGAAATTAAAGGGACTTGAATTGCCCGAGCCATCAGTTTGACTTCCTTCCGATGGCGAACCATCATCTTTTGGTTTGCCAAACTGAAATAGTCCAGCTTTTTTGGCAGAGACAGTGAGTCCTGGATTCTTGAGAGAGAGTCTCGAATGAGGTGCGGTGTTCAGGAGAAATGAATTGGAGGTAAGAGTTGGAGCCATAGAAGGGAAAAGAGAAGTTTCCAAACGATGCCACCCTCCCTCGAGTCTATGCTGTTTTGATGTTTTTTGTGCATCACACTATATCCATCAAGTCTCACAGTTTCTGTCCTGTGGCCATCGTAGGTTTTTCAGATTATCGGGATGGGGAGGCAAGGGACTGGCAGCCAATGAAGTTGTGCCACGTAGTCACATGTTATCGATTTGAGAAAATTTGGCACCAGAAGTTTTAGTTCGCCATTTTGCTATGTTGAGCCACTAGAAAATGACATTTTGCACATACCAGGCAAGAGGTAGAACTTGCAGGCTTAATAAATATCTGTTAAGCCCACGCAAGCCCAAAGAAGCTAAGATTGATTGGAGGGCTGAGACCCGTTGCTTGATGGTACTGTATGAATCCATCCATATATTTATCGGCTTAAAGTCCATATAACAATTTCTCCCATTAGTAGTATATCATTTTTCCGTCTAGGCACAACATATAATTTAAGCACCACATACTCCAATCATTACACAATGTACATGGCACGGCACCACATCATTTTTTCCTCTAGGCACATATAATTTAAAGATTTATGGCATGAAACATTTCTCCATCCTTGATTATTTTCTTTAGGTAACTCTTTCTTCTCCTTCTTCCTCTTCTTTTTTTATCTTGTTCTTTTATTTTTAAATTTTTTAATGTGGTTTTTTTGATGATTTTTTATCTAATTTTTCGAGCGAACTTCCAGATAATAAAAAATTTGACATATATATAGTCATGTCAGATAAAATTGTCGCGTCAAAAAATTAAAAACGCTAAAAAAATAGCTAAAAAAATGAAAAGAAAATACAAAAACGCATGCTCCATCAATTTCTTGCTAAACGAAGCAGCAAACTTGAAATTCTCAATTGCCTTTGCAATCGAATTGACTCTAGCTTTATAACAACTTAGAAACCTAGAAAGCCATGCTTCTTCAATTGATCAATTTATTTATTTATTTATTTTTGCTAAAAGCTGCTTTTTAAAGTGTGTCTGCCTCTATAACAATCCTTCTTTTTTTTAATGTAAATATGCTCTATTAAAAATAAACAATGGCTGGTAAAGATAGGTATTCTAAGAAAATGGTGCCAAGTGCTGCAAAAGACGTGGTTATGCAAGATGAGAGCAATTTCTTGCGGCCGAGCGAAAAAGTCAGAGAGAGAGAGAGGCCAAAGCAAATCCACCGAATATGCATCCCATGAAAAATTATGATGCAGACAAGCCCCTAATAAACGAATTGACACATTGACGTGACCATTCTGACATGAACGTCTTCGAAGAGATTCCATCCCAGACCCATTCAGATGTGGAGAGATTGTAAATATTTCAAGTTCGACTTACATGTGGCATTGTTAACGCAATGCCATGTTGGCTCTGCTTCAGTGAACAAACTAATCGAAGTTTACTGCCCATCAAAAACCGTGTCAATGACAGAAAAAAATGCACCGAAGCAGCTGTCCTGTTCGGCATCAAACAACAAGATAAAATAAAAAACAATCACGACATACAAACAAAAACACAAAAATTTATATCATTCAGCAGATGCTTAAAGAATTAAGCAAATGTGCTTCTTCACGGCTACACTCCAAATTCTTACTATGATTTTTTTAGTTAGTAACTACAGATACAAGATACAAGAAATATTATCTACGTTTATAGTATGGACAACTAGAATAATAAAAAATCTAATAAACCTATACACCTAGCACAATGCATTGTGGACTGTGGCCCTTCCAAGGGCTCTAATCCGCTCCCAAGGCCCCTCAAGAAGCGCTGCCTCCTTGACCCCACTCACTAAAGACCAATCTAGGAGGATGGCAGAATACACTAATTGAATATGACAGCCAGGGCTCTCCTATACATAGAGTTCAAAGTCTGTTTACACAGCTGTTAATGGTAAAACTACAACTGCTGTTTCCAAGACCCAACCCGGAAGCTGGTTAAATAGCCTACTAATTAGCACAAAACAAAAACGAGAGAGACAAAAAAATTACATTCTTGCCACAAATCATAATAAATCCAAGTCCACCAATCCATAGAAATTAATTGCAACAGAAAAAACAAGTCATCGGCCAATGTCATTTGACCAAAAACTAGAATACTGTGATCCATATTCATCATAATCGGACTAAATATGCCTCTGTAACGACGAGGCATTATGGCATCCCAATTCACATACTAAAAAACCATGCTCAAACAACCAAAATTATATCGTCATAAACCAAACAAGGGACAAAAGAGGGAAATGTCAAGCATTGCCATGCTTGTCAGGATTGTGCATGACAGACACACAAGCATTAAGGCTTAGGACCTACAAGTGCATATCTAGCATGAGAGATAAGGTCCAACTCATAACACACCTGTGGGTGGCAATGCTTTTATATAAGACCATAAACACATTACACTTGCAACAAGATTATCAAGCATCAAGCATAAAACGACAAGCAGGATAATATCATAAAGGATCAGGGTTCAACACTCGTCAAATCATGCTCATAATAAATTCAAATCATTCTCCAAGCATTTTGCAAATAAAAAATCACTGAAATAGAATCAATTTTATTCTTGGAATTTGCACCTGTAAATATTCCCGACATTACTTGAAATAGACTCTAACATCATCAACAGTCCATATTCTGATTTCCTAATGCTTTTTTTCTCTAAGATAAAGAATAGATTGCCGAAGGTGGGATTAGAACTTGTCAACTTGCCGTCATCCTTCTTGCTTTCAAAGAGTATCAATGAGCTAAAGGCCCATTACTAATTTCCTAAAGTTTATTTTGCATAAACATAATTGGGTCAATGACCATTAACTAAGCATTGTGAACTCAAAATATATATTGGAAAATAAATATGAAAAAAAAAAATCATTCAATGTCAAAATTTTGAAAACTTGGTTTGTCAATGAATAAATAAATATTGAACTTGAAAATCCCAATGATGTATAAAATTCTTAACTACCATTAGACTGTATTAAATGCTTCTAAGGGCACTCTTTAGCCAAATCCAACATTATCATACCATAAAAAACCTTTTAATATATATGAATTGACTCAAAAATATACTTCCATCAGTCCATGCCCCACATCTCAAAAATTCACCCCCAAAATGAATCAATTTATAACTTATAGCACCTATCCTAACCATTTATAAATATACAAAAAAAAATTTTAATAGGACTATAATATCCTCCAACTACCTTATCCACAGTTAAAACAAGAGAACTAAATTGATTGAACTTTAAAAGCTAACTGGCCAAGTAGTGACCAATACTCCAATGATATTTATCTATTTGGTAATTTATGGGTGCTGGACAAAATCCTAGAAAAGATAACCTAGCAAAAACAGTGTCAAGAAAACAGGCCACTATAAAGCTGCCTCAAATAACATTCAAATGAAGAAATGAATCTCCATGTAATCTAAGTACCCACGAAAATTTCCAATCTACGAAAATTAGCTACCAAGAGGTTCCTAATTTGACCCAACATAACACAAGTTACACAGCTAAATAAAATGAAAATGAGAAAAACAGGCACCTCAATCAGTTTGTGTTCTTAACCTACCTTCCATAGGGAATATTCTCCCACGATTTGGTAATCAATGACTAAGAAGTAAGTCAAAACAAGACTTCAAACTAAATTTGGCTCTAAAGCCAGCAAAAGACAGAAAACAATACATACTGCTTAAAGCAAACCTAAAGGCTCGTCATTCAGTCCACAAAAGAATGCTAGACAAATGAAATATATATCTTCTAGATCCCAGTAAGAGTGTACACTGTACAGCATGAATGTATTGTGAGTGATTGCATAAACTATAATGGACATCTCAGTACAATAGTTGGCAAAGGTAAGTAATCACAAGTCAATGCCAATGCAAGTGGGGTTCAAAAGAGCTACCAGCTGCCAAAGGCTCACAACCTCTCAAAGTTGTCCTAATGCCATAAAATATTTTATCTTGAGAAGTGAAAAGGTAAATGCACAATATATTTATAGGAAACAACAAACACAAGGTTACAGAATATACAACTGCCACAAATAATGTAGGAACCAATTTCCCTCACTGAATCAAATAAAATAATTAACAGTGGATAAATGCCAACAACCCAAAACCAATTAAGCTAATTCCTGAATGAGACATCAACACCTTCAAAATGCAAAGAAAAGTTCATACACTGTCATACAGAGCTAACTATTGCATACACATACAAGGCCATTTCATTTCTATAAACTTCACACAATTATCAAATCTGGACAAGACGAGCACAAGACTACAGCACCTGGAGAATTTTAGAAATCAAAGTCCCCAGGAACAATGCTCAAGCTGTCATCCACACAGGTCAAACCAAAATACAGTAAGAAAGCAGCCAGCAAAAACAAGAGAAAATTCAACAATAGGCACTGGGTTATCATAATACAGAAAACAGTTCACCTGAATCTTGTTCAAATGTAGATCTGCACATGGTCTGCTCAAGCAGGTCATCTAGCTGAAAATAATTTCATCTAACAATTACCAGAAAGCCAATTCAGTATCAAACTCGTATTAATTAAACTGAAATAACCTGTAGGTCCACTTTTCATCCTAAGAAATAATGTCACTTAATCTTACAGACCTGGTCTTACAAATGAGAGGAGCAATTACTAGAAATTGCATTGTCCCACAGAAGCTAAAAAAAAAAAAAAGTATTTTCATAATTAAATTTAATAATTTAAAGAGACAACAATGTGGAAATAAAGTTTTCAAGGCAATGATGCATTCACATGTATGTGTCATCAACATCCATGTCACTGTTAATAACTGCTTATAAAAAAAAAAAACAGATTCCCAGCTAAGTGAAAACATTTATTACCAGAAAAACTAGCAGCAAGGTCTGCATAAAGGTGCACTCTAAGAGAATAGCTCAGAAAATCCTCATTTATCCATTTCAGCTGCCAGCAGGAAACAGAGACTACATTAAAGAGTTACCAACAGTTAAAAGAACTCCCATTCAAAGCAAAAGCTCCTAGCAAATATAAAGAATAGCAAAACATGATTAAAGTATAAAAAAGAGCTCAATGTTCAATGTTGTAACAAATTTAGTGACTGATGCCCTTCTTTGCTTTAAGCGATTCAAGTGCCTTCTTCCTTAACTCCATCTCAAGTTTTTTCTGATCCCACTCTCTCTCTTCATCGTCACTTGGATGAGACTCCCCCTCCCAACATGTTCATCATCAGAAGAACTAGCATCATTGCGATCCTTCAATTTCAGCTTCTCTGCACGCCGTTCCTCCCTCCTCCGGTGTCGTTCCTCACGTCGTCGACGCTTCTCCTCCTTTCGCAATTTCTTTTCTTCCTTCCTCCTCCTTTTAGCCTCTTTCCTCTCTTCAATTTCAGAGCCATAGCTGCCATCGTCATCCGAAGCCACTTCATGCCGATGCGACCTTTTATGCTTTGACTTTTCCCTCTTTTCTGCTCTGTGCTTCTCACTTTCCTCAGAACCAAAATCCAATGCACCACTGCCATTACGATGGACCTTTTCAGCTGTAACTGGCGCAGTTTCTAATTTGTGGTGTTTATCACTATCCCTAACATTGTTTAAGCGTGAACGGTCTTTCTCATCCTTGTACAAAGTCGGAGACTTTTGTGCATCAATAGTTTCATGATTGATGCCTCTCCCAGAAGACTTCCCACTGTAAGGAATGTGAAAGACACCCTTGGTTAGTTGATGCATGTGCACAACATTGGGGTTTTGTGTGTGTGTGTGTGTGTGTGTGTGTGTGTGCGTGTGTGTTTGGGGGGAGTGGTTGGGTGGAAGAAAAGATGCAGCAAGAAATATATACATCTTTATATCCTGTTCTTTCTTCCTCGAATCCATGTTATCTGGATAGTTTCGGGGACCACTGGTCCGACGACTTGCTAATCTTTCAGGAGATTGGTCATCCTTGTAGGGAACCTTCAGAGGAGAACCTTTCTGCTTATCAATGTTCGATGGATGCATAGGTGGCTTCCGTGATGATCTAGAATTATAGTCCCCACCCTCCCTAGAAAACAGAGCCACCAATGAAAGTCAAAAACCAACCAGAACATTTAAAGACCACAACAAAAAAATTCAATGAACAAAAATTGTTTAATCTAACCGAGTATGGCCGGTTTCTTCATGATCATTGCTAGTTGCCGGACTATCCTTAAGAGGTTTCCTCCCTCTTTGTTTCTGAGGACTTAAGCTACCATCACGTGTAATTCGCTCTTTTCTCTGCCTGACAGGACTCTCATATGGACTAGGCGACCTTCATTAGCAACCAAAAATTTTGTAAACATGTGTATCCAATATCTGCATAAGTGGTCAAAAATCTGAAGAAGATAACTTAAGCCACATCTTTTACTGAAAATAAAATTACCTTCCATCTTTGCTGGCACTAATCTTTCTTGCAACTGGTGGAGATTCTGACCGGAGTGGAGACCCATCTGGTGGAGATAAAGCTGGCAATCTATTGCGTAAATCTTTCCGATCCTTTTGATCTCTTTGTGGTGACCTTAATGAACTGGAGGACCGACACAGAACAGGAGACAATTTTGGTTGTGATCTGAGACATAAATTGTCATAATATTACTGATTTGGTTTCAATGAAAACAAATTAAGTTAAGAGGAGGTTCCCACTACGGAAATGAACATACCTAACTCTTTCTCCAGGAGCCTGAATGGGTGATCTCCTTTGTACCTTCGGAGATCTCACTGGAGAGAGGGACCTATACTGGTCAGGAGATTGAGAGCTTGATCCGTAAGGTGAAGGAGACCGACGAAGAGAAGGAGCTGGAGATCTCTTTCGTGAAATAACAGATGACCTTTGTCGTGTAGGAGAAGGAGACATTCGGTGAGGAGTAGATGGAGACCTTTGATACCTTCGGTGTACAGGAGACGGTGATCTGCGTCGTGAGGAAGGGGGTGATCTACGCCGCACAGGTGAAGGGGATCTGCGATGCACAGGCGATGGAGATCTGCGACGCCTAACAAGGGAAGGGGATCTGCGACGTCGAATGGGTGAAGGGGATCTGCGACGTCGAACGGGTGAAGGGGATCTGCGACGTCGAACGGGTGAAGGGGATCTGCGGCGTCGAATGGGTGAAGGGGATCTGCGGCGTCGAACAGGTGAAGGGGATCTATCATGCAAGGGTGAAGGTGACCTGCGCCGAAAGGGAGAGCGCAATCTACGTCGTAGGGGGGATGGTGACCTGCGTCTTGAAGGAGATCTAGACTTATGTCTGGCGTATGATGATCTCCTCCGAGGTGGGGAGAGAGGATCTCTGGGTGAATGCCTTCGACGAGGAGTAATTGAGCGCCTTCTGGGTGAGCGATATGCTCTATCAGAAGATATGGAGCGCCGCCCTCGTGCTTCAGGTGATCTAGATGCACTTGATTTCTGCCTGTCATTGAGGTATGCATAAAGAAAGTCAGCTGCTACTATCGAAAAAAATGAAAGGAAATAACAAACAACAGACAAAAGATACCGATAAATCATGCACTCCATTTTACTGTTATGTTTAGAGATGTTTGCATATGGCATGTTCACATACACCTAAATAAAATGACCGAAAAAGGAAAAGTAAAGGAAGAGAAACCCAAAATACAAGCAATTAAATTATAAGAATATAATACTAATGCTGCTGCATAAAAGACATACCCTGAATGACTTCTCGAATTTGAAATTGACCTTCTTATCCTAGAGGGTGATCCTCTGCACAAGACAACCCAAGTTACTCGTAAGCTAGCCTGTTCTCTAGATGTGAGCCGAGAAGCATGATCAAGTAAAGGTGGTGAGGAAAATTACCGTGGGGATGAAAATGAACGATCAGTAGAATGAGGAGACCTAGAAACCCTGTAGCAATTTTATCATTAGTGTTCTGCAATTCCAGCATATATATGAACACACATGCAAACTGCATCTCATCCAAAAGGAATGTTAATAAGAAAGAATTCACCCCTTTTTGGAATAATTCCTAACAGCCAAATAAGAATGTCAATGCTCAATTTTAATTTCTTTCAACTAGTTAGTGCAGCATAATTTTTTGCTATTTCATATTCATTGGAGGGTATTCCAAAGACATAAATTGCTTTAGGTAGGAAATCTGCTGATTGAATCCATGTTGGACTGCTTTGTCTATGCCCATCCAGAAAACTGTTCTCGTTTTGAAAACAACAGGTTGCCCAGGTGCATTATATCCAAAACCTTAAAAGTCCACAGCGAGCAGATAGGGAGCTCTGTGATCTGCTTTGTATATAAACAAGAAAGAATGGCTGCACTGGGTGTGGAGTAGCTGCAGTGCATCAAACAGTCAGCTATATTGTTAAAGTCCCCTCAGACGGATGCCCAACAATTCATGTTCATAATGCAATATCTATGTCAACCACTAAGATGAAAAATTGCACGTGCAAGCACCATCAGACATCATCCTGAAGCACTGTTCTGTGAAAAAATTAATTCCTATCCTGCTCCTTGAGGGAAAAAAAAATTAAAAAAGAAAATAAAAATCCCAACCTTTTCCTCCCTCTTGCACCATTCCTCATGTCAGTTTCTTTCTCGTCCTCAGGCAGCATATGCTTTAAAGCTGGCTCCATAGCATTATTGCCTTTCTTTTCAACCTCAATGTCCTACAGTAGTTTGAGGTAAAGGACATGAACCCAAATAATTGCAGAAGCTAGCTGAGTACCATGAAAACACAAACTAAAGTTAAAACCAAAAACCCAATTCTAGGTAATCTAACTCCAGCATGAATGAGTTAGCATTACCATCTTCTTCCATCTTTCCCTCTCAAGTTCTCTACTCTCCTTCTCTATCTCCTTCTTCTTCTGGATTTCATTTGCTATCCTATCCACCTCTGCCTGCAATAGTCCATGTTAACACAGTTAAGGAAAGATCAATTCCAATATTGAATGTCATGCCATCATGACAAGAAAAGCATTTCAAACCTGCTTCTTCCGAGTTTCTTCTTCTTTGGCATCCAAAAACTGTTGAGGAACACCGCTTTCATTCTTCTGCGCACTAAGAAGAAGTGTCCACAGCTCTTTCATAAACTTCCCAGTGTTTTTCTCCATGAATCCCGTAAGCGATATTTGAACCTCCTTCCCATTCACTTCCTGCATCGATACAGTAAAAGATAACAAAACAAATGATAACTAAACCACACTAGACAATAGTAAACTAACAAAATGCCCAACGCCAACGAACTCTCAACAATCCCTAAGGCAAGTATTCATACAATTATCTTAGCAAAAACGGAGGATGCACACCTCTTCAAATGAATGGCGAAACATAAACTATTTTCAGACCAAAAAAAAAAAAGGTTAATTGCAGAAAATAAATAATACCTTTCCATCAAGCAGGCCATAAATAAAGTTGATAAGAACTTCATCTTCGAAGCCGAGAAGCTCCGTCACTCTAGTAGCAATCCACGGTCTAATAACATCCATCTTCACTTTCCTCGTATCCACCTAAGAATTTGAAACAAAAGAAGCTCAGATTGGATAATTTCAATCATAAGAATCCAGCAATTCAATTGAGAAAAAGAAAACGAACCAGATGTTCCAATTCAGGAGCGAACTTTTGAGATTTCAACAGCTTCGCTTGCTTGTTGGAGAATCGAGTGTCTTGATCAGCAGACGTGCCCTAAATAAAAACAAAACATTTCGAATTTCAAGATCTGAAAGCTGCAATTTCGCATTCGGATCTGAAAAGAATGAAGCTTACCCGGAAAAACCCGCCCGACATTTTTTTAGGGTTTTGATGGCTAAGTGGCTTGCGTTTGGCTAGAGAGAGATGAAAGGAATTACGCTCCGACTATGGTTGGAAAGAATAAGAGTACCTTGAAGATTATGCATTTTTTTAATTATTATTATTATTATTATTATAGGAGGATGGTGAAAAGACAGGAGAGGCCTCCGGTCCGTTTGGACTTTTATGATTGAACAATTGGATTAAAGGTTTTAAAGTCCTTTTAACTTTTTGTTTTGTTTTTCTTCATGTCCTTCTATTTTTTCCGTCTTTAATTTAATCCTTTTACGTTTGATTTTTTTTTTTGTCTTAATCTCATTGTTTTATTAATTTTTAAACTAACAATGTTAATTTATTATTTTTCTCTTAATATCATCCTTCTACCCTATTCATCCATCTTAATTTTTATTCTTAATTTAAAATAAACATTTGGAAAATAAAAAAATAGAAAAAAGTCAAGATAATTTGGTCATTCTCTTTTAAAAAAAATTAAAAAGAGAAGTTAAAAATATTTTTTATCCAAAATATCTTCTATGGGTTTAGTTTATCTTTATAATGATAAACAAATTTTAAGTATAAAATAAAATATTTTTAATATTTTTTTTAAATATGAAAGAGAGTTTTAGTAAAAATTTTAAACTTTTAAATGGTATTTATATTTTTATACTGTTTTAAAAGAATTTGCTATGATTTACTTATTTTGATTTTACAAATTTCTTAACTTGACTCAAAGATAAGAATATAAATTTTATTATAAATTTTAATTAAATTAAGAAATTTGTAAAATTAAAATAAGTTAATCATGATAGAATCGATATATTATAAAATTGTAAATATCATTTAAAAATTTAACAAAAATTCTCTTTATATTTAAAAAAAATACTACAAATATTTTATTTTATACTCGAAATTTGTGTACCATCATAGAGATAAATTTAAACTTGTAAATTATATTTTGGATGTAAAAAAAATTATCTTTACCTTTTTAAAAAAATTTAGAGAGAATGACAGGATATATTTTTACTTTTTTATTTTTTGAATTTTTCAAAATTCATTTGTTTGAATTCAATAAAAACAAGATTAAAGAAATGATATTAAGATAAAATTCAACAAAACCTGATCTAGTCCAATGAGAAATGTAGTTATCTACGATCAAGATTGGTCTGGTTTTTTGTTTTGACCATTCAAGTCATGCCAAAAAAAAAATTGATCGTTTAAATAAATTTGTCCTTGAGTTTCCTTTTTAATGTATTTATATTAACTATATATGATGTAGAATTAAATATCTAGACCGCTTGAATATTTAGCTCTTCACGTTTTGTTTCTATTCAAGATTGTTCTCTTAATGCAAGCATCATCAAAAAATAATTCGTTAGCTGATTGTTAATATTATTATTTTACAGGAACATCAAGTGGCATAAGAGCTGCAATAGTTGATGCCATGGAATTAGACTGAGCGGATGGCATCAATAAAGAAATTTGCTACAAACTTTAAATGCTTGGATCTTCCCTTAACTGATTTAATGGATTCTGTTTTGCATATTATTTTTGTTTTTCTTGTGTTGAGCAACTTTTGATGTTTTAACTTTGTGAAAACTCTGCTTTGGAGAATAAAAGGAAATACGTATAAAACTTGACAATTACGCAATTGCTAATCTTTTTCAGCTTACCTATGAGTACGTTTACTTTCCAACTTTTGAATAAAACTAAAGAGCATCCATATCAAGTTTAAGGTGGATTTTGTTCATAACAAAATTGGTTTTTTGGTGTTTCTCCAATTGTACACATTGAGATATATATATATATATATATATATATATATTTCCATAATAAGATAAAAAATGAACTAGACACAAAAAAGTAATTACTTGTCACGACCCTTGAAATTGGCCATGAGCGGCACAAGAATTGAGGAGTCGGAAGACCCATTTCGACTCAAGTAAGTCTCGGATACTTTAATCTTAATTATTAAAGTTGTAGTAAATCAAATATCATTTTCCAAAATAAAATCATTAATCAACATTATAAAACAACTATCATCCAATTCATAATATCACATCCAAATCCACAATACTACTTTCAGTTCACAATACATAAATATATCCAACATAATAATTGTCAATCTAACACAACTCTCATAATATATAACCGCAAAGTTTTTAAAGTGTGCAACAAATATCAAAATACAAGTTCAAAATATTACAAATAAATAAGTCGCATGATCAATGTGTCGACTTCAATTCAAATTACTTATTATCAAAATCACATATCAAATTACTTATAATCAATTCAAATCATATCAAGTATCAAAATCTATACATAGAGTAATCAAATCAAGTATCTAAATTTATAGCCGTGGTGAAACGAAACATAACGTACCATTGGATATAAACATCCAAAGGCTACACTCTCGTAGCTAAGTTTACGTATGTTTGCCAACACACGAGCTAGCACTATACCTCTCCTACTAGCTGGAGCATTACATATCGGTGAGCTCATAAGCTACGCCCTTCATAGTCGAGTACCCCAAGGCAATCAAATAAATCAAAAATAGAGTAAACTTACATACATTCTAAAAATTCAAAACTAACATATTCAAACACAATTCATATTCAAAACTAAACTTGGTAATATGATCCAATAACAAATATCATAATTAAAGTATAAGCTCAAATACAAATTCATATTCAAAATTATAAATCAAATACTTACTTAAATTATAAAACAAAATCATAATCAAGTATCTAAATTAAAGCAATTAAATCCATATGATTAAATCAAACCTTAAGAAAAGCACTTGGTGTTTAATAACCTAATTAAGTAGCTTAAAAAATTAAGTTGTTCTACTTAATATAAAAATTTTGTTTGATAACTTAAATGATCTCATATTAAAACTTTAAGTTCAGTTAAAATCTACTTAATCAAATAAGTTAAAATTTTTAACTTATCCGATTAAGTCAAACTATCTAAAACATACCCTCTCTCTCTCTCTCTCTCTCTCTCTCTCTCTCTCTCTCTATATATATATATATATATATATATATATATATATATATATATATATATATATATATTAGAATTTATAAATTATAATAATATATTTTGAAAAATAAAATACTCATTTGAAAAGCATAAAAATAATTCATTAAATAAATTATAATAATATATTTTTAAAAAATAAAACATCGACGTTATAAAATTTTATTCCAAAATCCATATATTAAAAAATCAAATTTATTAACAAATAAATTTATATCAAAAATTAATTTGATGAGAATTTTAGTAAGAAAAAAATTAAAAAAAATAAATTTTAAACAAGTAAGAGTAATATAATCGGATACATATGTTCAAACTAAAATCTTAAAAAATATCATATATATTCTATCATTTTCAAACGAGCTTATTATATTCAGTATTTAATTTTCAGTAAATACAAAACGACTTGTCAAGACATATTCGGTACTTAACATATTCAACACTTAAAATTCAGTACTTAATAGATTCAGCACTTAAAATGCATAATCAATATTTTTCATAATCATGTCAAATCATTTTCGATATTAAATCATTTGAAAAATCCACAAGAAGTTCTTCTCATCTTAATCATAATAGATGTGATTATGCTATGATTAAATCAATGATGCATGATAGAGATATCAAAAAACTTTAAAACAAAATATGTTATATACTATCCACTCATAATACAATTGAATGATTGAACAAAGTCAAGGTTGTTGAGATAAAGTTGTCCGATTCGAAAAATTTAACGATACAAAATAGTCAAATAATCATTAATATCACATATCAAAAAATAATTCGAAAGCAAATGAATTATTCTTGAAATCGAAATACAAAACAATTTACATGGATAGAATTTATCGTAAAGATCCAAATTGAGGATTTTTAATTAAACTATTACTTTCTCAATCAATTCTAGATGATTACCTAAGAACTATATCACAAGTTCATTCTACAATCTTTCTCTAACAATCCAATTTACACATTAATACAACCAATTATCTCGTCATCAATTTTTTATTCAATTTTCACATAACTAATCTCTACAATCCATCATTTTTTCTTCACCTCTAAAGCAATTTAATTCCTATCACTAAAACAATTCATAATAAATCTTTTACCCCAATCAATAAATTCATACTTAAACTCTTTACTCAAAAATTAACTAATAAATCCTAAAATAATTCATGTAATAAAATCAAGTGAATTAAACTCCAAATTAACTTCATAAATCATTAACCCAAGATAATTAATCATAATCTAATCAATTAAAATCACTAAAATCATGCTTTTCTTAAATTTCTTTTCAATTCATCATCTCAAAGAATTTAAAGATTTCTCAAATCCATAGTCTAATAATCATTTTCAAATCGTCATTATCTCATTTCAAGCATTAATTAATGTAATTGATTGCTAAATCATCAAATTCTCAAACTCAATTTAGTTTCTAACCCCGACTTAACTCAATTCTTATTAAAACAATAAACACAAGTATAAACAACTCCAAAATAATCAATTAACATAGGTAATTATCTCAATTTTAATATCAATTGACAAAAATTCTCACTTTTGGTGTATAGGTTCTCAACCTCAATTCCAATCCTTCAATTCCTCCAAGCCTCTTGAACTTTAATTTAACTTAATATCATTTTAATCATTTTGCTTTAATGTCTTCTATGGTATCTAGGCAAGATTTTAGCTTGGAAATGGAACGAGAAAAATGAAAGGAACCGAGAGAGAGTTTTTGGGGGTGAGAGTAAAGAAGAAAAGTGAAGAAAACAAAGGACAAAAATGTCATCCATGTTTTAAAGTTGCCCCAATTTTTTTTTTTTTTAACCTTTCGTCTTGTTTTTATTCTTATTCTCTCCTTTTTTTCTTTGTATAGGATTAAGGAACTAACCTCAATCTTATAACTATTTTTCGTAATTCTAAAAATATATAAATTATTGACTTAAACTTATTTTTAAAATAGGTTATTA